ACTGCCGCTGCTGTTGACCAAATACACGTAATCTAATATCTCTCCTCGGGGTCACCAGACACACACTTTCCTGACGACTGACTTGTATTTCCTTTTATGATAAAAAATATATCTTTGATATAATACAGTATTGTTCTCTAAAACACATATACAGCTTGTGCTTCTGAGCGAACTAGTAGGACTATCTGGTTAACACGTATATTCATTCGTGTGAACAGATATACCGGTATTTTTAGTTAAGTGGACTTAAGTTGGATTACTTCAAATTTAGAAAAATGCTACTTTGGCAATAGAGTTGTGAACAAGAGGAATAAACTGCCAAGTGGCGATATTGAAGTCTTAATGTGATGACTGAATCTTATACCTTGGGTAGCTCGTAAAATATCATATTTATATATATATACTTGTGAAAATAGATGGGTTTGAGAAGGGTGTGTTTAGCACGCGCTAAGTAGGCCATGTTCCGGTTCATCTCTGTTCTTAACGCTCAGTACTAGAATTTGTTGCTTTGCTATGTTCAAGTCAACCCGACGGAAATAACCCTCTGCTTCAACTGCAAGCTTCAATGAAGCAATTTCACCTCTTAATCTCCTCCTTATTAGCATTAGTTCTTACCGCGGGCTTGAGCGGTCATCAGTATCTTTCCATCAGAGTATTGAGGCAATCCTTCAGACTCTGCACCAGACCCACGCCCCTTCGAAAAGTACTGACGATGCTGAAACGGGCTCTATAAATTTACCTGCAATCTTAAGCTCCTTAATCACGCTACTGAAGGAGGATCAACGCTTTCTCAACTCACTACTATAGGAGGATCTAGACTTCCCTGCTTCACTACCGGAGGAGGACTCTTCTTATTACTGGAGTAGAAAATTTATTCTTCACTCCTACAGAGGAGAATATTGGTTTGTTCACCTCATTACCGAAGGAAGATCCTGGGTTCCTCACCCAGCTACCCGAAGAGGATCCAGGCAGTCTCGCAACATTATCGTATGATGATCGAAGCCTCCTCACTCTACTAACAAAGGATCCTGGTCACCACACTTTATTACTGGAGAATGATCTAGACCTTCTCATTCCTATCCAATACTGAAGAAAGATCTAGTCTTCCTTACTCCACAGGAGGCCTGGTCACAGACCGGGCCGCGGGGGCGTTGACCCCCGGAACTCTCTCCAGGTAAACTCCAGGTAAACAGTTGTAGGAATATCCAAGCTTCATATCCAAGCCTCCTCACTAGACAGCTACAAGAGGATCCAAGCCTCACTCTACTACTATCAAAGGATCCAGGCCGCTTCATTCAGGTACTGCAAGAGATTCCAGGCCTCACTCCACTACTGCAAGAGGATTTAGACCTACTCAATCTTCTACTGCAAGAGAATTCAGGCCTCCTCATTCTACTATTGAAAGAGACTCCAGGCCTCACTCTGCTACAGCAAAAGAATCCACACCTCCTTCCACACCTGCAAGAGGATCCAGGCCTCACTACACTACTGCAAAAGGATCCAGACCTCCCTCCACTTTTGCAAGAGGATCCAAGTCTCACTCCACTACTGCAAGAAAATCCAGACCTCCCTCTACTACTGCAAGAGGATCCAAGCCTCACTCCACTACTTCAAAAGGATCAATACCTCCGTCCACTACTGCCAGAAGTTCCCATGCCTCCCTTCACTACTGCAACAGGATCCAGGCTTCCTCGCCCTTCTACTGCAAGAAGATCCAGGCCTCCTCACTCCACAATTGCAAGAGGATTCAGACCTCCCCGCTTCACTATTGCAAGAAACTCCAGGCCTCATTCCACTACTGAAAAAGGATCCAGGCCTCCTCACTCCACTACTGCAAGAAGTTACAGACTTTCTTCGCTCCATTATTGCAAAAGGATCCAGACTTCCTCACTTAACAATTTCAAGAGATTTATGGCCTCACTCCACTACTACAAGAGAATTCACGCCTCCTCACTACGTCACTGAAAGAGGATTCAGGCCTCCTTACTCAATTACTGCAAGATTATTCAGGCCTCCTCACTTTCTTCTCTAAGAGGATCCAGGCCTCCCTGTTCCACTACCTGAAGGAGCATCCTGACCTCACCCTATTTCTTTAAGAGGGTCCATGCTTCCCCTCTCCACTGCTATAAAAGAATCCAAGCTTTTTTATTACAGTACTGTAATAGTATCCAAGACTCACCCCACTACTGTAAAAGGATCCAAGACTCACCCCACTACTGTAAAAGGATCCAAGCATCCTCACTCCACTACTGTAAAAGGATCCAGGCATCCTCACTCCAATACTGTAAAAGGATTCTGGCTTCTCTCTACTACTGTAAGAGAATCCTGACCTCCTTACTCCAGTGCTGCTAGAGGATCTAGGCCTCCGCACTTCACTGCTGTAAGAGGATTCAGGCTTTTTCATTCCACTGTTGTAAGAGGATCCAGACCTTTTCACTTCACTACTGTAAGAGGATTCAGCCTCTTCACTCCACTACTGTAAGAAGATCCAAGCCTCTTCACTGTTGTAAGAGGAACCAGGCCTTTTCACTCCACCGTTGTAAAATAATCCAGGCCTCTTTATTCCACTGTTGTAAGAGGGTCCAGGCCTCTTCACTCCAGTGTTGTAAAAGGATCCAGTCCTCTTTTCTCCACCACTGTTAGATGATCCAGTCCTCATTTCTCCACTACTGTTTGAGGATCCAGTCCTCCTCACTCCACTGCTGTAAGAGAATCCAGACCGTCTCACTCCACTACCGTAAGAGGATCCATGTCTCCTCTCTCTACTACTGTAAGAGCATCCAGGCCTACTCCACAACTGTAAGAGCATCCAGGCCTCTTCACTCCACTAGTTATGGGGATCCAGACATCCTCACTCCACTACTGTAATGAGTCCAGGCATACTTACTCCACTAGTTTGACGATCCATGCCTACTCACTCCACTAGTTAAGAGGATCCATGTCTACTCACTCGACTAGATAAGAGGATCCATGCCCACTCACTCCACTAGTTAATAGGATCCATGTCTACTCACTCGACTAGATAAGAGGATCCATGCCTACTCCACTAGTTATGAGGATCCAGGCTTACCCCACTAATTAAGAGGATCGATGTCTACTCCACTAGTTATGAGGATCCAGGCTTACTCCACTATTAGAGAAGTATTTGTGATTAATAGTTGACAGTTACGCAGAGAACAAAAGTTAGCTTCGATAATTATATTTCTGTACAACTTACTCTTATATTGTGCTGGAGAACTTATAATTATAGTGCTTACTTGAGCATATCTTGTACAAAATAAATAAAATAATTTGTCTACACCTATTTTAACTTACGCTGTTTCATAAGTAAGAATCAATAAATGAGGGAAATGCAGTTTGCTCAATAGTACTTGTGAATAAAAAGTGATCTTGCAATTATTAACTCGATTTTGTCACTTGTCTGACTGTGTAGGCTCAAGTAACTGTAGCGTAGTATACAATGGCTTCAATTTTTTTTTCAAAGAACTTCAGATTATCTATGTCAACCACGTACATTGTAAGAAATAGGTTTTCTCTGTAACAACAAACATTCTTGGATGTGCTCATGGTGATGGATAAACTAGTAAGTACAGTAACAGTAAATAACTTTAGTTACCACGCAGTCACATGATTTGCAACAAAAAAAAAAAGTACCGCACAAAGGTATATTATGCCACAATTTATTCGGTGTAATTCACATTTAGAAGGGAAATGACAAAGTGTAATGAAATGCCTCTATCTTCTTGGTATCATCGACCATATACTTTCAATGTATGACGCAAGCTGGCTGAATGTGACTTAATTGAAGACTTGATAAGCAGCAAATTCTTAATGTGACCTGACTAGCGTTTGCCTGCTGCTCACGTTTTCCCACTACCTGTCTGTCTGTGTTGTTGGTAATTATTGATTAGTGAAATGATTTGCCACAATTGATATTCATCTACTGACTTCTGACACGCATCCGTTCAGACACCTGCAGAGCATAAACTCTGAGGAGAGAACAAGTATTTTTCAGTGAACGAATGGATTATGAATGACAGGAATGGTTTCCTAAAGTCACTATTCATGATTCAGCCAATACCTTCCGATTAGATTTACTTTTATGTGACAATGTTCCTGGGCCGTTATCTGTTACCTTTAAATGTTTACTTAGATCCAACGCCAAAAAAAAAAATACGATCATTCTTCTCAGATTCTGGGAATATAATGCACTTTAAGATGTAGCTGGCTCACTTATGTGTACAAATGCTCTAATGGAGCTCCGGTCCGCCAATACATATTTAGGTATCGGTGCTTTAAAGGCGTGTCCACTACAATACTGACATGAAAGCCGTGAAAGCATCTTCAACTTGTGAGTGTTTATTGAAGTGTATCCTACACCCCACTTCCAAGGTTTGTTGAAGTCATGTCTCGCATTTGTTCATTCAAGCAGTACCGTCGTTTGCCTTCGTTATAAGCCATTGTTGGAGGAAAATGTCAGAGCTGGTGGATGTATACCTATCTAAGCCCTTCTTCCACCCCAAAGACCCAGATTAATAAAAGACATAATTCATAATGTAAATTCGAGCCAACATTGATAACTTCACTAAATCAAAAATCATGTCTAAAAAATCGAGATAGCGTCTAATATGACATTATGTATTGTAAAAAAAAACTTCAACGATATGGATATTTGTGTCAAGTTATAAAGAGAAGAGGTTGAAATGTTTGACACTTCGGGTCAGAGTTCACTCCCGAGGACCCTAAACAGCACAACAGTGCGTTTTATAGGTCCTTCTTGAAATGTATCAATGTTGTTTGTCACTGACACGAGCGATTTACGATAGCTCTCGAAGAGCAACATTGAAGGATATTTGATATAATATTACTTTGAAATCATATGCAATGATAAATTCGTAAGTTAAGTGGGTTCGCGACTACGAGTGGGAGGCACTAGCCGTGAGCATTAGTAGAGATTTAATTAAGTTTAAGTTAGTCAAGTAAGAAAAATATGGACTTACGGGAATGATACCAAGCCGACTTACTGGAATAACACCACTTTGGCCAGACGACAGCGCCGGGGGTGTCAAGATCCGTCATGGCTCGCATCCAGCCTTCGTGACCCCACACTTTTCTACTTGACAGGTCAGCCAGGGTCAAATTTAGGTCACTGTACGATGACCACTACTTAACAAGCAGACGACATACAGGTGAAGTGTCGCAAGTTAGGTCACACTCTTAAAATCCCAGGTTGTCAGGCAGAGCTGAAGACACTACTGTTTTCTTCACCACATTCTTAGAATCCACCTTTAGAATTCACTCCATTGGCACCACATTCAAATTCTTCATGAAAAACGCATCAATATTCTTGATTACTAATATAATCCACTGCACATTTGGGTCAGAGCTCCTCCAGCTTGCAGTTCTGGAGAGCGATTACTACCAGTGGGTAAGTCAGGCTCCAGGCGCCGTTGCAGAGAGCGGCTGCCGCGGTGCACTGTGAGTACGAGACGGAGGGGTAGTGTGAACGGTCTGGCGTCTGCCTCACCACTGTCTCGTCCCGCTACAGGTGAGCGAGCGCAGGTACACTGGACGGTGTTCGGGGGTCGGGGGAGGTGCTGGTGTGTTCGTGCGTGTGCACCACCGCCACGCTAGCGACGGTGGCGGCGGGTGCGTGTGTGTGCTGGGGGGCCAGAGGCGGTTTGGATACCATCGAGGACGGGCGTGTGTCACCGCTGCCGGCTGATCCTCATGGCCTTTCCTAAATTCCCTTCGCTACCTGCTCATTCTGTCGCCTCACTCCACAGCACTATCATTTTCTGTTCAATGTAATTCAATACAATTCTTTTCCTAGACAGTAAAACAATTTCGTTTAATTTTCACTATAACTCAAACAGACAAAATTTAAAGTATAAATAAAGGTTTCTTACAGATATTTATAATCGTATTTATTGTTATTAATGTGGAAACATTAAATGCGTAGGGGTTATACAGCGCCTGGGAAATGGTAGGAAATCAGGTTTGATCCAAGAAAAGAGAGAGTGGCTCTAGTTTCATGGATCAAGAGACTTTTGCCCCAGCAGAGTTATAACCTTCCTCGCTGATCACAGTGAGTGTTGGAGAGAAGGATCCCACTCCGCTGACCCCAGCTACAGCAGGAGAGGACCTGGACCCGTGTTGGCCCTGGGAACCTGGACCGGTGCCGCCCCCGGGGTGAGAGAGAGACCTGACCAATACCACCCCCGGGGTAAGAGAGATTACACACTGCCACATAGGGGTGAGAAAGATCAGATACTGGCACCCCTGGAGTGAGAGAGAGACCGGACTACCGCCACCTCCAGGACAAGATACTGCTACCCCAAGAGTGAGAAAGACCAGATCTCTGATACCCTTGGGGCGAGAGAGACCAGACGTTGATGGCACTTGCAAACTGTGTGAGGAAGAAGAGAGAATCCTCGCGCACAGGATTCTTTCCACGTAACACGATACAATTTCTAATGCTATTAAATGTTAACACCGAGCACACTCCAAGGTATTAGGACCACCACCATTTACCTTCGGGCACTGGATTTCTCATATCCCCCCTTGGGACGTTCTTAAAATGTTGTTTATTAATCTTAAAATTACGCATATCTGTTATATTCGAAGAAAATATTCCGCTGCTATGGGACTGTTTAGAAGGGATTTACATCCCTAGTTGAGGACTCGGCGTCTCAGTACGGACAAATAAATTCTGTTTTCTCTTGCAAGTCTATCCTCTGCAAATCTAGTCATCAAGTATTGATATTGCACAACACGGATTCAAGTGTTGGGTAACTTTACCTCAGGGTTGCGATATATATATATGTCGTGCCGAATAGGTAAAATTGGTCAATTAGCAAGAACTCATTTAAAATTAAGTCCTTTCTAAAATTTTCTCTTATACGTTTAATTTTTTTTTTTTTTTTTTTTTTTTTTTGCATTTATGTTATTGTAAAAATTAGTAATTTTTCATCAAAACAACCTTAGAAAACTTACCTAACCGTATTATAAAAAGCGCAAACTCATAACACTAAGGTTATCTACACAGTTTCCATGGTGTCAGTCCACCACTGGGTAAAAGAATCAGACAGCAAAATGAGTTCTGAAATGTGATTTCTACAAAATACGACAGCTAGTGACAGAGTTCGAGTGCATGTCTGCTCTGTTTCTTTGATGATCTCTCAGAAATTAGTACCTAAGCCTATGAGAATTCAGCTTCCATACCCCGCCACATACTAGGCTAAGCATAACTGCCATAGCTATCTGCGTCACACTGACCTTATCTCAGAGGGCCGACGTGTTTCATTTGTCTCCAGCCCTTCACTGTTAGGTGGACCACTCTGCTGAACGTCCAGACCTTGAACTCGCTCAAGTATCTTTTGTTTAAACTCTATAAATCATAGCGAAAATAGTGACATTCTAATTATTAAAAAGATGATAAAAACTGTATCACGCATGACACGGACACTACCGTGCCCAGGGTGAGAGAGAAAGGACCATGTGGCCACTCCGGTTGTGAGACTGGACTACATCCACCCATGGGATGAGACTCTGCACTATTGCAACACCCAAGATGAGACACTTAACCATTGCCAGAGACTGGATCTCTGCCGCACTCTGGGTGAGAAAGACTAAACACTGCCACTCTGTAGTGAGAGATACCACAACACGGCCGGCCCAAGGTGAAAGGGAACGAATGCAGTCATCCCGAGAGTGAGAGAACTCGGGCCACTGCACCTTCCAGAGGGAGGAGAGAGAGAGAGAGAGAGAGAGAGAGAGAGAGAGAGACTGATAGACTGGGCCACTGTCGCTCCTAGGGTGATTCACTACCGTGTCTCCCGAGGTAAGAGGCCGAATCACTGCCTTTCCAGATGTGAAAGAATGGATCACTGCCGTTTCCGAGGTGAGAAACTGGACTACTATCGCTGCCGGGATGAGAAACTGGACTACTACCGCTGCCGGGGTGAGAAACTGGACTACTACCTCTGCCGGGGTGAGAGACTTGATAACTGGTGCTTCTTGGGTGAAAGACTGGATAACAGGTGCTGCCTGGGTAAGAGACTGGATAACTGCTGCTGCCGAGGTACGAGACTAGATAACTGGCGCTGCCAAGGTGAAAGACTGGATAAATGCTGCTGCTGGGGTAAGAGAACAAGCATCAGCAATCACCAAGGCCGTCTTCCATACACCGTTGTCATCAACTATCCATTCTTGACGGTGGTATCGTATTAATCGCCATGAATTATTATTATTATTATTATTATTATTATTATTATATTATTATTATTATTATTATTAATAGTAGTAGTAGTAGTAGTACTGACATCCTATGAAAGGAATGGTTGTAGGGGTCATGCAACACATGAGGAACGGAAGACAATCAGATTCGATCCAAGGAAGTGTAAGACAGACTCACTTCCTTTGATGAAGAACTGGTGGTGGTGGTGGTGGTGGTGGTGGTGGTGGTGGTGGTGGTGGTGGTGGTGGTGGTGGTGGTGGTGGTGGTGCTGTTGCTACTGCTGGTCCTACTGCTGGTGCTTCTGCTGGTGCTACGGCTGGTGCTACTGCTGGTGCTGCTAGTGTTTATGCTGCTGGTGGTGGTGCTGGTGTTGCTGGTGCTTCCGTTGGTGCTAATGCTGCTGCTGCTGGAGTTACTGCTGGTGCTCCTAGTATAACTTTGTACATAGATAAACAGTTGCATATGCTACTGCACCACAGTTCACTCAGCTATATACGACTCTACGTACTGTATGAAAATCAAGGATCGTAGACTCGGAGGAACATATTTATAAGTCAAATTTATCATATCTCTGACATTAGCTGGCTTAGTCTGTGTGAAAAGGCTGTGTTTCTCCTGTCTCTTATTAAAAAAATATATGTTGGTTCTTCCTTACCATGAAAACTTGATTGATATACCTTCTCTACTTAAGAATTTTAATATCAAAGTTGTATTTAAAAATCTTGACACAGTTTAAAAACTTTTGATAAATTCCCCCCAAAATGTTGACGGGTGTGTCTGTAAGGTTCCTTGTCAAATATGTGATAAAGTTTATCACGGTCAAACTTGTAAAAGTCTTGAACTTAGGTTAAAGCAACATAAATATCGCATTAACAGTGGACAAGATTTTAATGCTCTGTTTATTCACGTGAGAGATTTTAACCATTCAGTTGATTTTAAAAATGCTGAGAAAGTTATATCAAGCAAGTCCATGGTCGACAGGAGAATAATAGAATCATGTTTCATGAAAAGCAGTTTTGAAAATAATATGAATATTTCTTTTGGTTAACATAAATTGGATTCATTTATAATTAATAAAATTTGGGAAGAATTTAACACTTTATCGCGCAGGCGATAAAGGGTTAACCCTTTAGGTATATATATATATATATATATATATATATATATATATATATATATATATATATATTATATATATATATAATAATGTCGTGCCGAATATGTAAAACTGGTCAGTTAGCAAGAACTAATTTAAAATTAAGTCCTTTCTGAAATTTTCTCTTATACGTTTAAAGATATATTTTTTTCATTAATGATAATGTAAAAATTTTTAATTTTGCAACAAAAGAATCTTAGAAAACTTACCTAACCTTATTATAACAAGCGCAATTTATTTTAACCTAACCCAACTAAATATATTTTAGATTTGTTTACAATAATTTAATACTAAACAAACGCAGTGAAATATATTTTTTTCCTTAGGTTCAGAACGATTTTGGCGGAATTACTGCATACACAAATTTTCACTTGTCCTTTATGGCAAGATGGGCGTTGCTATTTAAGCCAAGATCGCAAGTTCTGCCTATTCGGCACGACATATATACACACATATATATATATATATATATAATATATATATATATATATATATATATATATATATATATATATATATATATAATATATAGATTATAGATATATGAGATATTAGCTTTAAAATTACGTAAGGTTAAGTTAGGTTAGATGAGGTTTTAAAGTTAAGTTTTGTCCAAAAATAATTTTTTTTTAACATTATTATAAATAAAAATATATATCTACAATCTGTAATTTTTGTGCAGAGCTAATGACTCGTGTAGTTGATAGGCTTTTAACCCAATTAACCTACTGCTCAGCTGAGCCTTAGGATCGTCCTTCACGCACTGTGGTCTGAGTGGCAGCTTGGCTCGTTACCTGACAACGATGTTGCCTACACGAGCCGCTGGTCATGATAAAGCCTGAACAGAAGTCATTATTTACGCCAATACCATTTTCGTAGAGGTAAATCGGATTAGGCTTTTATCTTCTCCAACGGTGGTTCTCCTGGTTGTCATACAGTTTAATGGGCTCAGGGGACGCCATTCTTATTATGATATTCACTGGGAAGCGCCAATTCTTTTAAGAAAGCAAGGAACTCGTGAGGGGCTCTTGATATAGGAAATTGGGTCTGTGCTCCAGTTCCCTGAATTGAACCTGAGCACCTTCCATTCCTTCTACTTCTCTCAAGCGCTGTATAATCCCTACGGATTTTGCGCTGCCCGATGGTAAATAATTACATCAAAAAACTGGATCTACTAAGGATCCAGTTGTCAACTTTTTGTCACATACATTCACATACAATTGCTTAGAGCATCGTTGTTAATACCGCGTTGGCACGTACAG